CTCCCACTCCCCCAACTCCACACACCTTATTGGTTCTAATTCCCTGGAAAACCCTAATAGCAGGGGACAGGTTAGGGCACAATGACCTAGGGGTTGAGGTCTTTCAATGCCTGTTGTGTGGACAAGCTTTAGTTCTGGTGCAGGAATCTTCCACTACCTCACTTGCTTTAGGAACTGGTCAGGGGTTCTTCAGCTAGAATGGGCATGCCCTGTGGGCAGGCCAGACCATGAGTCCTCTTCCCCCCACCCGTTTTTTTTGAGACGAAGTCTCACTCTGTCACCAGGCTGGAGTGTGGTGGTATGATCTCGGCTCACTGCAACCTCCACCACCTGGGTTTAAGTGATTCTCCTGCCTCAACCACCCGAGTAGCTGGGACTGCAGGTGTGCACCCCCACACTCAGCTAACTTTTTGGTATTTTCAGTAGAAACAAGATTTCATGATGTTAGCCAGGATGGTCTCAATCTCCTGACCTTGTGATCTACCCACCTTGGCCTCCCAAAGTGCTGGGATTACAGGCATGAGCCACCATGCCTGGCCAGGCCCTCTTCCCCTTCTAAACCATTCTTCACTCACCCACTATAACACGTTGAGGAAGCTAAGCTAATTCTTCAGGGAGAAAAGGGAGAAAATTTTATTTTATATATGAATATATTTTTTATATTTATTTTACATTACTTAGTGTATTATATATTACTATTTTCATATAAAAATCTCTCTCTCTCTCTCTCTCTCCATATATATATATATATATATGTATAGCTCTCCCCACAGCTACCTTGATTTGGACTGGGTTTTTGTTAAAGTGTCAATTATTCTGCATGCCATTAGAATCTTCTCAGGATGGTTGGTGGGGGTATGTTTTAAAAGGAGCATGAGCTTAGGCACAGTGGCTCACACATGTAATTCCAATACTTTGGAAAGCCGAGGTGGGCAGATCACCTGAGGTCAGGAGTTTGAGACCAGCCTGGCAAACATGGCAAAACCCCATCTTTACTAAAAAATACAGTAAAATTAGCCGGGTATGGTGGGGCACACTTGTAGTCCCAGCTACTTGAGAGACTGAGGCATAAGAATGACTTGAATACAGGAGGTGAAGTTTGCAGTGAGCCAAGATCATGCCATTGCACTCCAGGCTGGGCAACAGAGCAAGACTCCATCTCAATAAAAATATAAATAAAAAATAGGCCGGGTGCGGTGGCTCAAGCCTGTAGTCCCAGCACTTTGGGAGGCAGAGGTGGGAGGATCATGAGGTTAGGAGTTCAAGACCAGCCTGATTAACATGGTAAAACCCCATCTCTACTAAAAACACAAAAATTAGCCTGCCATGGTGACGCACACCTGTAATCCCAGCTACTCAGGAGGCTGAGGCAGGAGAATCGCTTGAACCCAGGAGGCAGACGTTGCAGTGAACCAAGATCAGCCACTGCACTCTAGCCTGGGTGACAGAGTGAGACTCTGCCTCAAAAAAATAAATAAATAAATAAATAAAAGGAGCATGAGGACAACCAAGTTCTCAATCAGAGGACTGTCACCAGGCCCTGAACTAGGAAGCAGGACAGGCAAGTAGGGGGCTGAGGAACAGACATGTCACCATTCCCAAATTTGCTTAGGGCTGGTTGGCCCTGCCTGTACCCACACAGTTGTAATTAGGTAACAGTACTTTTTTTTTTTTTTTTTATCAATCTGAATATGTTGGAACTAGTTTCTTAGGGGATTCATCAGTTGAAATATCTTAGACCCTTGGCTGTGGGCCATAAAACACACTTGACTGAATATGATATAAATACCTTCCACTCCATTGATGTATTGATTTGTTTTCATTTTGCTGTCTCCATGTACCATACACATCCATCTCCCAGCTAAGTTCCCAGAGAGTAAGGGCTGGCTTGGAGAAATTCTTTTAGCACAATACATAAACAACACAAGAGCCTAAAGAGGGGAAGACTTCATATTTATCCAGTACCTAAAATGTTGCAAACATTTAAATATTAAACAATTATTCTAACTTTTACCACATTTAACTGTTAAGGAAACTGAGTCTCAGGTAAGTTATATATGCAGTGTGGGATATAATTTTTAAAAGCATTGCCTGCTGCCTTTCCTCCTCTTGGTAAGTCTTGGGAAGTTCGGGGCTTATTGTTGGTTGGTTTGTGTTCTTGAAGCTTTAACACCCCGAGACAGAGACTGATTGCCCCAAGGAAAGAGGAGGAACGTGCCCCAACAGGAACGAGAAGGAAGTAAAAAGGGAGGAGAGGAACGGACATAACAGCTCCCAAAATAGACAACTGGAAGCTAAAAGATGCTGAGCAGTGTTGAATGTACAATTTTAACTTTTTCTCCTACTTCTGAGTGGGAATGGAAGCTAGGAACTAAGTCATCAGTATTTTCCAAATTTCCTTGATGATTACCTATGATAAACAATACATTTAGCATTATGATCAGTAAAATACGTGTGTGTATATGCGTGTGTGTGTATGTATATATATATATATATATATATACATACACATGCATTCATATAAGCAGGACTACATATGTGACTTGCATATACATATATGCAAAGCACTTTAGTATTTTTATAAAGAACTACTTAGTTCTCTTAAAAAATATTTGTTGATCCTATAAATTGAATTCATGGTCCATTAATGATCACCAACTTTGGAAAAACACAGTGTTATGGAAGACTTATTTTTTGACACATCTAAGTCATTCTCTCAAGGTCCAGTAGTATAAGCGGTGGATCTAGGATTGACCCCATGTTTGTTGTGCTGAGTGTTAATGACCCGAGAGAGAAGTCCCACCCAGCAGTCAGAGGTACCCAACATATAACCAGTCCTTCAGCTCAGACTTTTCCAGTTCGTGGAAGATACACATTTCCACCTCATACTACTGGGATCCCATCTGCTTTCAGCTACAAAATATTTCTTCCTAGACAAGTTGTGGAACTACTAAGTTGCAGGCAAAATCTGAAGAACTTTAATCAAGAATTATCAAAGAGAATTTTTAAAAAAGATGTTCTCCCCACTAGAAAGGAAACTTCCTATCTAGGTGTGCCTTTGTCCAGGAGAAAAATCTAACATGCAGCAAGTTCAGGGAGAACAAGATGTAAAAACTGTGTTCCCTTGGGGCCATCTAACCCCACACTCAGCCACTCCCATGTCCTCTGGGATGAGGATGAAGGGGTAGCAGTGGGCCAGAAGGAAAAAAAAGCAATTCTTCCTTTACTGACTTGCTTCCCCACCTCCCCTCTCTCTCCGCTGTCTTGGCAGCTTTTTCTACTCCCTACTCATTTCTTACACGGGTTTCCTCTTGTCAATTTTACTTTGGAATGGGCTATAATATTGAAAGAAAAGTAGACAACAAAAAAAACCCTCTCTTGCCATGACTCAGGTTAGTGATTCTTCTGGAGGGAAAGAAAGCACAGTTGTCCAGGAATCAGACTTTCCAAGAATCTTATTTGACAAAGTTGAAAAACTTTGTCTTCAACACATGTACTTCTTTCCCTTCTGAGTGCCTCTAAGCTGTGGCGATCCCTTTGGAGAAGGTTTAAAATCAACATGGTCTGACACTTCCCTTGCACTTCCAGCTGTTCATCTCTTTTGCTACCTGGTTAGACTCCTTTCACCCTTCCTGCTGGAACAGGGAAGGGAATTGACAGGATCATGATCTACGACCCCTGAGTGATCTGGTCCCTGCCTCTGTTACTGAACTCCAGTCACCACTTTTGCCATTTTTTGAACAAAATGAGCTCTTTCCTGCCTCCGAGCCTTTGCAGAAGCTGTTCCTCTTTCTGTAAAGCTCTTCCCTCGCTTCTTCATATAGTCAGTTCCTTCTTATCATTTGGGGATCAGCTTGAATATCACATTCCAAGAAGTTTTTCTCAACTATACTCTCCAAAATAGATCTTCGTTGTTATTCTCTAGAGTGGCCTTTGGTTTCTTTCATGATACCAACCATAATTGGTTAATAGTGTGTCTTTTTTCTGCCTCCGCCACTATTATGAGGTTTTGTTTCTCTCCTCCTCCCACTCTAAAAAGGCATAATCATCTTATGAAGCAGAAAGAGTAATCCTCTTTTTACACATTAAGAAATATCATCTCATGATTAAGATGCTGTTGGTAACCTTCAACACAGGGAACTCTTCCAGACTCTTCTTTCTCTCCTACTAAATTTATTCATTTACTCATTCATTCATTCACTCATTTAGTTAATATCGTTGAGCACCTATTTAGTAACTTTGCACTGGACACTGAGCTACAATGATGAGCAAGGCAGTTCCTGCTAAGTTTACTCCCCATTGCAGCCAGCCAGAATAGAACAATGGCTCTAAAATGCATTTCTCTGCTAAAAAACCTTCATCAGCCTCCAAACGCCTTCTGGATGAAATCTGAGCTCCACAGTATGCAGAGCAGTGTAGGTCCTCTGTAACCAGCCCCTCCTTCCTCTACGACCACTTTGTTTGCGGCTCTTCTCCCAGCCTGGGCCCTGCTGGGTAACTACAACAGCTCCATCAGAAGACAGATAGCGACAACCAAAGTCCCCTGGGACTTGGTTTTCCTCTCTCCCTCTCCCTCTCTCTTCTTCACACACAGCCTGGGACAATGACACCAGTGGTTTCTGGGTTGCTCATAGAGAATCCTAGCAGGTACAATTCCCTGCTGGTTGCTCAGAGAGCTTTTAACTACTACTTCCTGGGCTGTGGACGTTTATAATTGCGTTCTCAGTCCAGGAGCAGCGAGTCAAGGGTTGACCTGGTCGTATAACTTGAGAGCCGGCCTCAGTAAGGAAACCTCACATTGCCAGGTCACACTGTGGCTGCTAGTGTCAACAATGGCATGAACTTTCTGTGCTTTGAGGATGCTAAATGTCCTCAAAGTGCTAAAGAAGATGTCAAGAGCTACAAACATAAGAGCTGTGTATCAAGACCTCTTTCCCTAGAGGAGGCAGGACCCTTCCATTCATGCCTTGTTAGAAGGGCCAGAAAGATGGAAATTTAAGTCTTTGCATTTATAAATATTTATTTCTCACTTTCAATTCCACATCTCTTCAGGGTTGCTGTGATAGATCTTTACAAAGCTTTCACTTTTTAAATTTGTGCTACATGGGGATTGCTTTTAATTTTTTTTCTTAGAGGAATATCTTGAACAAAGAAAGGACTAAGGGAAAGATTTTCTTCAGCTTCTCTGGAAACTTGCAGCCTTCTAAATGCTTTATGCTTCAGTTTCTTCATCTATAAAAATAGGGAATTAGCAAAATTAATGAACCTTTGTCTTTCATAAAATGTCTTATAGGATAGGTGCTGTGCAAGTAATATGCTATGGAATGATAATGTTTTGTTAGTGTTTATAAACATAATTTGAATTTTCCATTAATTGGAATTAATCCTGTTTATAAGAAAAGACCTTTCCAATTAAATCACTGGTGTGCGACTTCGGGTGGTTGAAGCCTTTATTTTGCTTTACTTCAAATAAAATGGGTGCCTACTCTATTTTGGGTAAATTCTTAATTTGCATCTTCCTTTGGCCGGTTTCAGTGAACAGTCTCACCTTTTATTTAGTCTCTCTAAACATTATTTGTATTAGAACATTTTCTTGCATATTATGTCTCTTCTCATTATTGAAAATCATTTTACAGCTGAAGGTTAATAGCAATGTTTATTCAAGGTAATGTTACAATGTGCTTAAGATTTTAAAATAAAAACAAATAACCTTTCATTAAACCATGATTTTGGCTAGGCATATTGGTTCACACCTGTAATCCCAGCACTTTGAGAGGTGGGCAGATCACCTGAAGTCAGGAGTTCGAGACCAGACTAGCCAACATGGTAAAACCCCGTCTCTACTAAAAATACAAAAAAATTAGCTGGGCCTGGTAGCACACACCTGTAATCCCAGCTACTTGGGAGACTGAGGTAGGAGAATCACTTGAACCTGGGAGGCAGAGGTTGCAGTGAGCTGAGATCGCACCGTGGCACTCCAGCCTGGGCGTGACAGAGACTCCATTTCAAAAACAAAACAAAACAAAAACCACTATTTTAGTGAGTCATATTTTATTTTTATCATGGAGGCTTGATGTTCCATTTCCTTATGAATGAAAATTGTATTGACCACCGCTAGCCCAAAATGGTAATGAATTACAAAGCTATTTACATTTCAGCTTTCTCATAAGTAAATGATCACCTGTTTCTAACATCGGACTATGTTTTAATGCTATTTCCACCAAGAATAAGTCTTTTAACCCTGGTATAATTCTTTCTTATCTTGACAGGTAAAAGATTTTCAACATTTCTAGATATGCTTTGAATCTAAACTTTAGTTTCTAATACAGCCAGTCACTGAAGTCATATACTTGAAAACATGAAATTGGAGTATCAATTTGTCTCTTTCTAAGTGGTACCAATAAAATTAGCAGTCACAGAGAGGGTCAGAGTGGGTCCTGGCCTGCTGTGACCCATTTACTCACTTGATAACTCTGGGATGCTTTGAATTTAAACCCATTTGGCTTTGAATCCATACAAGTCATTGCAATCTGGAATCATCCAAGCTAATTTATTTTGACTCAAGAAAGTCCTAAGACAGACGAAAAAAAAATAAGTCTAGGTTATCCCTCCCTCATCCTAAAATTAAGGGTTCCAAATAATTCAAGAGAGAGGGGTGCTAGCTCTCCTCTGTGAACCTCTTTCTGTTCCCCAGATAGCATGCTAACCTGATTAAAATCTGAGGGCAGGTTGCAAGATATTTAAGGTATATAGTCTATAACTGTCAATTAAAAGTTTTTAATAAATACAACCCCTCTCCCCTACTAAATCTCTATGACTGATGTAAACATGAACTGAGTCCTTCAGGATGTCTCTAGAGTTTAGAACCACTCTAACCAAGATCCCTGTGCCTCAAATAGTCTGCTTACAAGTAATCTTTATGGCAGGGATGCTGTAGAATCAGGCAGTGGTCTGGATGGTCCATAATCAGGTAAGATTTCTTAGCCCATTGTTTCTTGATACATAGTTTACAAAAATGTGGGTCTGAGGTTAACTCCTATTAAGTATTTAGCATGGTACCAGGCTCATAGACACTTAACATATATTAGTGTTTACTTTATTCCTTCTTGAGAGGATTTGGAGTATGAGAAACCTAGGAGAAATATCGCAGAAACATGGACTTTAATTCAGGCAAAAGCTATTTAGCTTCATCCCCCCACCCCCGCCCCCCGCCACATCTCCTGTGCCTAAAAGGTCTCCAACATCAAAGGTCTGCCGACTGCCACTCCGCTGTGCTGGACAGAATGGGGGAGGAAGAGCAGCACTGCTTCTGAAACAGCCCCATGCAAAGTGTGGGGTGAGGATGATCAGAGCTCCTGTGAAACTGTCTTAAGAATAACTTGACAAGTGGGGAAATTTCAGCAGTGATTTTTCTGCCATCTGAGAAGCACGGCGGAACTGTTGAATGAATATATTTCATGCCCCTCTCAGAGACTGCTGTGTATTCTCTGTAGTCCCTCTCAAGTTGCTCATAAACACCCATGGTGTCAGATATAATCCACTCACACCCAAAACATTAGGCCGTAACGTAAAATTTACTAAAGATTTTGGAAGGGAAATGGACGATTTTACAGTGTCCATGGGATATACTCTTATAAGCCATCTATTCACCAGGCCTTCTTTTCCCAAGTTTCTCTGGCCTACACTAGACACACACCACAGAATAAATCCTCTTCTTTTCTTCCTCCCTCCCCCTGTAGGGTAATGCTCAGCTTTCCAGACCCTGTCCCTCTTCCCCAGTCCCTTCCAAGTGCTTTATACATAGCCATTTCACCAAACTTCTCTGCATCCCCAAAGCTGCCTGCCCACAGGCAGGTGCTCAGCACGAAATAATTCCCCAAAGCAATGCTCAGAAGGGAAGTAGGTGGATTCATGAATAACAGCCCCATCTCCAATTATTTCCCACACACATTTTCCATTCATAAAGCCTAATTTTATAGTTATTAATTTGTTAATTGATTGCATGAAATGACAAAGCTAACAGAGACGAGGCCAGATTTAGAATGAAAGCCAGGTTTAGAATGAAAGATTCTAAAGATTTCACTTAGCTTAGCTGGATGACGGCCTGGGATGGGTTTATCTACTCAAGATATAACCAAGTGAGGCAGCGGCTCCTTGCTGGAGTCTGTCTCCTAAGGAAGGAGGATAGATCTATGTGATCTGAAGGCTTCTGACCACTGGTGCCTTCACAATATAGACCTTGGAAGCCTGACTTGTTTGGAAGCCTGTAGAGAGACTCAGGGAGAAACGTACTTGAAAAAATGTGTAATAACCATATGTTGATGTCCCCCTTGTCCTCATTGAGCTTCCAAAAATCACAAAACTTGTTATATAAAAGCATTAATTATCAAAGTTAAAAAAAAGCAGGCTTATTGAAGATTTACTAGGCTGGATGGAGAAGAGGTTTCCATCACACAACACAGAGGAAACAACTTAATAAAGCCTTCATTGTGCATTTTTCCCCAAAGTCTTTTTCTAGCTGGGCCGTACACTAGAATCTTCTTTTCTTTGATTTCCTCCCCTGGGGAAGCCCTGGGCCTTGCACCTGGTTGCTCTCTCTCCTTTATTAGGCAGAGTCTTCTTCTGCACAAAGCCTGGACCCCAGCAGGAAGCTTGCTCCTACCGCATAGCAGGCTATCAGAGGCTGTTTATAGCAGAGCAAGCCTCTTCCTACAAAGGAATTCTCATACCAGCTGCCAAGAAGATAGCGTTTTCTCCATATGTTATAGATCCCTTGGTATTTGAAAGATAATATATTTTTTTGAATTTAAGTGTATCGAATAAGATTAATCTCTTCAACAGATAATTACTAAGGGTCTTTTATGAGCCAGGCAAAGGGCTAGAAGCTGGGGCTGCACCAGTGAGCCAGACCTGGTGTCTGCCCTCAGTGAGCTCCCTGTTGAGTTGGGAAGAAGGGCAAGACAACAGGCATTTCAACTCCAAGTCCTCAGTGTGATATTGGGGTATATATTGGTGGATGTGAGAGAGCCCACCCAGTTCTGAGGGAGGAAGGTCTGGGAAGGCTTTCCAGAGAAAGTGATAGCAGCAGCCTGCCAGACGACTGGTGCTGGGGGAGTAGGAGGGCCAAGGCAGCATTCCAGCAAGGAAGCAGCAAGTCCAAAGCCCAGGGGGACAGGGAGCACAGCGTGACCCAGGCGGCAGTTCACAGCTTCCTGGGGTGAGGAGGGGAAGAGCGGAAATCATGAGGCTGGACAAGAAAGCATGGCCAACCTCATCGTTTGCAATGGCTTGTAACACCACGTGGAAGTGTTCAGGATTTTTTTTCTCCTAAAATCAGCAAGAGAGATTTTGAGCAGGCCAGCAGCATATTTAGATTTCTTTTTTTAAGAAAAAAAAACCTCAATGGATGCAATATAAACCAAACCAAACCCAAACAAAAACAAAATAAAACAAGGCATATGTGTGATAACTGCTATGTTTGAATTGTGCACAAAGTGTTGCAAAAGCCCGGAAGGGCCAGGTGCCTCCCTGGGGTGTCGAGGGCCCAGGAAGGTGTTCTAGAGCAGGTGGCCTGGTGGGGGGCATCTCAGCAGTGCAAATACCCCACCTTCTAACCGTGCTGTCTTTATTCCAGTGCACATCCTTTCATTCTTGAGAACCCTGAAGAGAGTATTACTCAAGTACCTTCTAAAGTCACAGTCCCATTTATTGCTTATCTGATACTCCTGATGGCTTTCTTTCTTGTCAGGTCTATGAAACTGAAGGAATTTTAGAGCCCAGATGATAACATTCTTGAATACATTATTATAAAATTTTCAATTTCAAGGAAAATCATCAAACTATAATAATAATGCCAAGCACTATCAACTAAGTTTGCTGTTATTTCCTGCATGGTCTACACAAATTTTACAAAAAAATGTTGAAGAATGAAGTTTGCGTGATCATTAATGTAGCCCTTTTTCCAGAGAAAATAGATTCTCTCTTTTAATGAGAGCATTGTAATAAAAAAAAATGAATCTAGTTAAAGGGATTTGGATATTTCATGGTATGAAAATAATTTTGACAGAAATGAATTTCAAATTTTTGTTTGCCAACAAAGAACTATTTAAAATGACAAATAATATTGAGCAAGTAGTGGTATGCACAAGTGTGATTTTTGCATTTTGTCATTTATCACTCAAAATAGTCCTGTGAACCACATGCCAGTAACCATCAATGCCATTTACTTACAAAGAAGCAGAAGACCAGAAAGGTTATATAACTTGCCTAAAGTCACGCAGTTACTAAGCACCACAGCTGGCATTGAAAACTAAATTTGTCTCCAAAGTTTATATTTCATTGCACGACTACTGCAATCCTTTTTCTTAGAGATCTTGGGGATCTTAGCCCCTTCCTTCGGGCTACGTATAGGATTTCAGCTTTGGGTACTTGACCAGACATACAAGCAGGAGGCTAGTACAGAAAGGACAACTTGTTTAATAATGTCATAATCACCAGTGATTCAATGATTTCATATGAGCATTACCTCCATAGCCTTCCTTTTCATCAACACATTATCATCTCAATTGAAGAATAGAGGATGTGGCTCCAAATTACTGATTTTTTCTAGATTTGTACAGCTCTGTCCTATTGCATTGCTTTCTATTCTTGTCAATCTGTGGGGCATTATTGGCTAAGCAGGACTGGGTATTTCTCCCAACATTCACTGTTTTTAGTTGTGAAAAGGGCATTTCTGAAGTGGAAGGAGGCTAACACAATAGTAAAGGGCAGCTCTGACTTCACATTCCAGCTCTACCATTTGCTTGCTGTATGTGTTTAAGTGGATTAAGCTTCGCTTCTCAGAGCTTCAGTTTCTTCATCTGTAAAATGGGGCTAATAATACCCATCTTGTAATGTTGTTAAGAATTAGATTAGTTAACATCTGCATGTTAACACCTGTCAAGCACTCAATCAAGAGTAGCTTTGTTTATAGTGAAATCTGTTTTCTCTAATGCTACTGCACTAAAATATGAAAACGTACTGCAGGTTAAAATACTGCAATAGGTTTATCTGCCCTGACATAGTTTGTTCACGACTATCTCCTCTTCCTTACATGGCATCATATACTCAGCCTTTCTGAATAGATGTTTGATTCTAAGGTTTACAATTGCGTCTGGTGGTGGTGCTCATGGGGGAGGATTCACTGGCTCAAACTGCTGTCTGTAAAATGTGTCTATCAGAATCAGATGCCCACTTGGCATTACTTCATGCTCAGAAGCAGGTGGCTTTTTGCTAATATGTCATTTGCTAGAATCGCAGCGTCTTCAGCCAGTTCCCTCTCTTGTTCACTGGTCTAACTGTTGGCTTGGACCAGTGCCACATTCTCAAAGGTTATATTTGCCTTTTAGAGCCTAAGAAACAGGTTGGATTTTAGGTGCAATGCCAAGGATCTGAGTGCAATACACACTTGGACTCACACAAATGACAAGTTTGTCCCCTTGTTTGTTGATGTATTGACTGATTGATTTTTAGAGCACAAGGCTTCTCTCAAGATCAGCCAGGCCTCCTTCCCTGGCAATCTGTGGAGCTGATGACTATCCTTGACCATTTTGTAGCCTGAGACCCAGATGTAAAATACCTGGTGATTCTCCCACCTCTACCCCCACTTTTTTTGAAATACAATTAACTACCATAAAATCCATCATTTTAAAGTGTAGAATTCATTGATAGCTAATATATTCTCAAAGTTACATAACCATCCCTGCTAGACCTAATGAGTCTTACTTTTCCAAATGCATATATCCAATGAAAGAGCAAAGTTTTTGTTTAATATCTACTTACTTTGACATAAGTTATTGGTACAAAAAAGTCCAGAATTCTGATTGCAATGCATTGCTCTTGAGGCTGCTTTAGTTTGTGTATTAAGGTGAGTTCATTAGTATGAATTACAAGCATATTCCTTTTCATTTAGGTGTTTTATTCTCCATTTCTAAAATGAAGTAAATGATCGTGAAATACATAGAGGCTACATGAGTTTAATTATTTTCTTCTCACATTAACTTACTTCTCTTGATTAGCATGTACAGCATATGCCCAGAGAAACCTCCTTCCAGTGGGTAAAAATTAAGCCCCTGACTCCATCATCTTCTAATATGATCTTTTCTCATCAAGTAGAGGTAAGAGTTTTAATACTCATATTGCTTCTTTGATTCAAAGATCCTGCTCACATTTAGCAAGAATAAATTAGTATTTGCTTATCATATTTAAACTTTTTATTTAAAATATTTTACTTTCAGTGTGGCTACTATGACACCATCTTTTTTAAAATGTTGATTTCCAGAAGAGCAGACAAATATGTGCTATGGTTTTGTATATATAGATAATACCATAATACTATGGACCAATCGTGTCCATGGAAAATTGTTTTCCACTAGGAATGAAGGATTTGTATCAATGTTATAATCAAAGCTGTAGGGAAATAAATATCACAGGCCTGAAGAGTACCAGTCAGTTAATGCCAGTGTAGACAGAATGATGCTGGCACAAATAGCTCTTCTGTTATTGGCTGATATGAAACTGGTTGTTTTTTGAAGGAAGCATCGGGGATGAATAAAGATTCTAAAATATTTCACATCAGGGCTACCATGTCACATGTAATTCATTCAAATAGTGATAAAAATGGTAATGAAGAATGAAGGCCATGCTAATTGCAGTTCAATAATTTTAGTGATGCCTTTGCTATATAACAGTTTCCATTACACATCTATTGCAAATCATTCACTTGTTCTAGTGTTTATTAAGCATCTACTATGTATGAAACTGTGTTAGAGACTTTTGTTAAGGATCTTAGGATCCAGTGGAAGGGCCTGTGCACTCTAGCACGACAAAGAATATAGCTGCAAGGTCAAATTCCTTTTCGACATAATTGAAGGTACATCCAAATTATTGTATTTCAATAGAACCTTATCATATTCGATTTCTGAAATAAGCAGGTTATTGGCTAAGGCTGGGGAACCTTTTTATAATAGAGAATTTTTCATTATGATGGTATTTATTGTAAAGAGATCTGAACTGTAATATAATACAATTACAATCATAAATATAATTATGAGGTGTAAGTGCTAAGGGAATACAGGAGAGATTAATTAGAGACAGGTGGTTCTAGGGCTTCTCCAAGGGCTCCTGATAAGTTCAGGGGGAGAGCTTGATTCTCTCCAGATTCTGCCTTCGCCCAAGGGACTCTCCTACACTGAGGCTTATGGTGGAGAAGAGAGGGTTTTTTCAACCACATTCAATTCAGAAGGATCCTTTGGCTTCAGCTTTTAGGAGTCTCACCTTATTTCTTTAAAATAACTAATATTACTAAAAAATACTCTGTTAGCCATTAAATAACGTATCTTTTGAGACCTTTGATGATGGCTCCAGATTTGAAAAATAGCCTTTTAAAATGAAGTGACATGCAGAGGACTGGGGTCAAACCCCCAAACGCTGTTGAGGAGAGGCATGCTTAATAATGGGCCCCGTGAGTTATGAAACATTAATGGATCCTGACACTGCTGTCACTGGGGCACCGTGGTCACTCTCATCTGGTCAGTCGTGCATGAGGTCTTACTTTCATTCAAGTAGGGATGTGACCACTCTGCATCTTTCTGTCTTCACAGCCTTGCACATTTAATAGTAATAAGAGACTCTTCCAGTAGTAAACTTCGACTGGCTGACTGCTGGGTGTATTTGTTTTGTAATAAGCTGTTTGGATGGCTGTAAACATTTTGACCATTGCTGACACTAAAGACAATTTTAAAACTAATTCAGGGAAATAAAGACGGCGCCAGGTTTTGCTGGATACTCTGAGCTTCAGTCTGCCTGTGCATGCACAGCAAGCAGCAACTGGAAGTTCCTGGATGGCTTTACCTAGAGCATCCCTGGCCTTGTGGTTATTTGAATGTATCAATACATGTTTCATTGCCATCAATAAGAAGCAGAAACAAAAGTAGTCAAAGCCCAACTTAAACCAGAAATAAGAATTTGTGGAGCTCCAACTCCCAAGTGTATTGTGCTGACCATCAACTGTCAGGAACGCAGAGTCCGCACTTCAGCTTGGTGATGACTCACCCTGCTCTCCTAGGTGAGTCACTTAAACCCTTTACTCCTCAGTTTCCCAACTTGTCTCTCTTCACATGTATGCAAAGGACTTGCAGAGTCTTTTAAAAAAAAAAATGACCTGTTTTCTACCAGGTGCGGTGGCTCACACCTGGGCGGATCACGAGGTCAGGAGATTGAGGATCCTGGCCAACACAGTAAAACCCAGTCTCTACTAAAAATACAAAAAATCATCTGGGCGTGGTGGCACACGCCTGTAGTCCCAGCTGCTTGAGAGGCTGAGGCAGGAGAATCGCTTGAACTCAGGAGGTGGAGGTTGCAGTGAGCCGAGATTGCACTACTGCACTCCAGCCTGGAAAGAGAGCAAGACGGCTCAGTCTCAAACAAACAAACAAAACCCCTGTTTTCAAGCATCTGAGTGGGTAATTGTTTGACAGGAGCAAAGAAAAGAAACTTTTTAAGAAAGCAAACTTCTAGCTCTGTTGGTTTTTATCAGTAACAAATTATACTTTGTTGCCATATAGGGTTGGAAATCAGTAGTCAAACAAAAGTGAAGTTCTAATAATCTACATTGTTGAAGTGCCAACAAGCAAAAGTCAGCTTGTCATGTTTCTAAACAACTGTGAAGATGGGAGCAGGCTGAAGCAGTGAGGAAAACCTTAGGGAGGATGGAACAGAGCCCCGGGTTAAGAGGAGTGGTAAAGGTGAAGTGGGATCTATGGCTTAACAAAGTGGTTAATTGTCATCACATGATTCAAATATGTTTATTTCTTAAACCTTCACTCCGGACTGAGGCAGATAAGGGCCTTTTTCTAATTACAGATGACTATTAGCAACCAACAGGGAGAAAGAAAGAAAAATGAAGACAAGAAACAATGAATGAAAAAGAAAAGTACTGTGATCCTTTGCATTATCAAAAGTGATCAACAGTCAGTTCTTTAAAGGCTGTGAGAACAACATTTCAACATTGTTTTCCAGCCACCGCTAACAGCAGAAACTCCCTATAGAAGGAGGCTCATAGCAGTTACACACAGACAACAGAGAAGGAAGCTGCTTGGTATAGCCGTCACCTTCAGGACGACAGATAGCCAACAGAGCATTTCACCCTGAGGGTGTTCGTGTGATTACACAAAACCCCCACTTGGTCATTTTTCACGTGCTTTAATAATGCTGATGCAAAATAAGAGTAAAATTACAGGTGCCAGTTCCCATTGTAGAATGCTGATAAACAACTTACCATTTTGCAGTGGCTGGTCACATCTGGAGCCTTTTGGGATGCAAAAGTACTGGAAGGATTATTGCAAAACTTAAAGACACTTTTGCTGCCATTACTTTGTTTTTAACCTAAATTAGTGTGGGGTTTTTTTTGAGGGGGGGTGGTGAGGGATGCCTTTTTAGAGAGTCTTAATGCTTGTATTATAAACTTATGTAGTTAAACACTAATCAAACAACAAAATGAAAAAGGGGGTTAGATTTAGAGTAGTTGCTTGAAAACTTTTCCAAATTGACCTTAAATAGACAGAGGCTGGTATAAAACTACGGATTGGTGGATTATGACTTATTAATTTTGGTGCTATCAAAATCCTTAAATAACCTGATTAAACTTGATTTGTCATTGTTGATACCTGTTACAATGTTGAATTAGCATGTAATGTGCACAGTGTAAGAAGAAAATATAAATGAAAGTGCATTGTTCCTATTCTTTATGGAGCTATGGTTTTTCATAACCACAAAAGAACATTAACATAAGAATGTAATGTATTAGGGTATAGTTAGTATTTTGACTCCTTTTTAATAAAGCTCTTCTTTTAGGATCTAAATATTTCTCTGTATTTTGTATCTGCTGCGAGGTAATTTGGGATGATACCAGGACTAGACAGATGGGTGGGAAGAGTCTGGGTCTTCCCCTTCAGGGTTTCATGATTCTTGTATGTTCTCATCAGGTTGCTTGAGGACGAATTCTGCTTGGATGTAGCTAGTAGGACATGATCCCCTTGTCCTCTTTTCTTTTTATGCTCCTCCGTTGAGAATATGCAATCTAATTCCTTAAGGTGCAAACTAGTCATAGCTACAGTAGTCCGGCTTCCAGCAGATTCTTTGCTATATCTAACATGTACGAAATCAGACGTTTTAATGAACGCATGTGTTTTTCTGTCGTGTTACGTGGACTGACAGGCTATGGAGATGTCTGAAATGATTTGGTTGAACTCATTGCAGTCTTCCAGAAATCATTTCCTGTGATATCATGCAGTGCATTTCTCCTAGGATTTCCTTGTCAAGAATATTTCTCTTTTAAGCAAAATAATAACTTCTGGAGCTTAATAGATTTTATAGCTGAACATTGAAGTAGTGTGCCCGGTATGTGAAGCATTCTAGCTGTCTTAATGCAAATGAACAGATAGGCTTAACGAGTCAATCTTGAATCTATTTGGTGAAAAAAGCCACTCTGTTGGCTGTGTGCTATTAGTACATGCAGATACAAGCATACGCGGGCTTGGACATGTATTAGCATTGGATGTTACTTCACTGAGAAAGTGATCTGTTGACCAAAATATGCATATCTGAATGGAAAGAGGTCTTTATGGTGCTCTTTTTTATTCTAATCTACTATGGTCTGAATGTTCACCTCTCCACAAAATTCATGTGTTGAAATCCTAAGCCCCAAGGTGATTATATTACGAGGTGGAGCCTTTGGGGTGATTAAGTCAAAAGATCAGAGCTTTTGTGTGTGGGATTAGTGCCCTTATAAAAGAGGCCCAAACAGCTTAATCTTTCCATCCACCATGTGAGGACACAGAGAGAAGGTGCCATCTAAGAGGAAGTGGGTCCGCACCAGGCAGCATATCTGCCAGCACCTTGATCTTGGACTTCTCAGCCTCCAGAG